AATAATGCAACGGATGCTTTGTGATCTTAATACAAAATACCACTCTAAATACTGCATCAGTTGAGGGAGCAGAAGGACTTGAAGGACAAAGGCAGGAGAGAGGCTGTAGGAGAGAGGGGTTCACACTGTATGGGAGATGGCAGAGTGTGAAATAGGATGAAAACCAAGGGACGGATCACAGGAGGTGAAGTTGGAATATAAAATTCAGTCAAGCCTGACATTACTGTGAGTAGTATGATGTCCTATCAGAATAATACAATACATGCATTGGATACCAAACCCCTGATCAAAAAGCATATATAAAATGTTTAAGGAAAGCTTACATTCTAATTGGGTTCAAAAGTGTCGGTTTCCCTAAAAATCACAAAAAACATTTGATCATTTTAACAATGGTTTGAAATGTCTTCAATAGGCAGTAGAACCAGGGAAAGCTCTTAACAGTGAGGCTGAGTGAAGGTGTAAGGTATATGCATGCACAGATGGCTGGAAAGCTAAATACATACATTGTTGTTGTTGTTGTGTATTTGCAATTTAGGTGAACCGAGCCTTTGCTTTTTTTATTTACGACAAAACGATGCAACTTAACTTAGCAACATGGTCTTTGAGATGGACATTTGCCTTGAGCAATGGGACAACATACAGTGACGATGTTAGACAGTGTTTAATATATTCAGTCTGCTCTGCCACTGTCAAAAGCCCTAATCCAGACTGGTGCCGGCTTTAGGTTATAATCCCCATTCACCCCTCACCCATTTTGAGCTAGCATCTCTCTACCCATCCCCCTGTAGTCGCTCCTCCTACTGTATATTCCCAAGCCTTTCACTTATTCATCCTCAATCTTCTCCACTGCTGCATTTCATGGCATATAGTAAGCCTCCTGTAATAATGATTGCAAAAATAGCCCGTGGGGCCGAGACAGCGCAGAGTATCAATGTACTGAGGAGGAAATGAAAAGCTCTCCCTTGTTCATCTGCTCTTTTCCAATTTTATCGTGATGCTTACAGTATGTTTATTCCTCTCCACACAGGCTTCAGAATACAACATATTTGAGGGTATGGAGTGCCGTGGGGGTCCAGCGCTGGTGTTGAGTCACGGACGAGTTGTTTATGAGGAAGGCAAGGTGCAGGCCCAGCAAGGCACCGGTCGATTTATTCCCCGCAAGCACTTCCCAGACTACGTTTACCAGCGCATTAAAGTCAGGAACCAGGTGCAGTACATACATCATATTAAAGCAATTCTTCAAAAGGTTAAAAGATTTTCCAGTAAAAGATTAAATGGGTGGTCAACATCCAGTCATTATAGTTGCACCATCGTTTTTTTCTTCAATATGACTTTAAACAATACATATCAAATACATAAAAATAAAATACTAATTGGCAATGTGACTGTACAGGCTTTTTTGTTTTTTGAAGAGTGACTAACATGTCAGCTAACATGTGTTTGTCTGTGTGTTTTTCTAGGCAAAGAATCAGCAGGGCGTTATTCGTGGGTTGTACGATGGCCCCGTATATGATGTGGTTCCTACCCAAACATATATTACTCCTTCTCCTTCAGCCAGAAATTCACCCACTTCTCACCAACCACCACCAATACGCAATCTCCACCAGTCCAACTTCAGCCTATCAGGTAACAAACATTTTATATTTTATACTATTTTTCTTAATCCAATCCAGTACCTGTATGCCTACCTATGATGCTTTTAATATTTTAAATGGAGCAATATGTGAGCCTTCATTTTTAAGTTCCAAAATGAATAGATTTATTTACTGAAGTAAACAAATCTAACATATCATTTTGTCTTTGTTTTCCAGGGTCTCAGATTGATGACATCGTCCCTCGTAGGTCTGGCCAACGCATTGTAGCACCCCCTGGTGGTCGCTCCAATATCACCAGCCTTGGTTAAAGTGGTTGTTCTGGGGTTTCACCTCTTGAGTGTGTGTGTGTGTGTGTGTGTGTGTGTGTGTGTGTGTGTGTATGACTGAGAGTGTGAGCATACTGACATGAATGAATACCGTTGTACTTTTTGGTACAATGGTGACACACTCGTATTAGACCATTATGATTTGTATCAGTTTGCCTTGAGTAAATGGTCGCAGAGAAGAAGCACATGATACTTCAATTAACCTTAGAATGTGATTTACAATCAACCAAGTCATTCAAAAACTCATGGGCTCACAATCTGGCACTCATACACACACACACAGATCAGTTCTCGGACCCCCTCCAAGCACCCAAATGTGAACCCAGTGTAATGTCAAACTGTTGTTAACTCTTTTTCCCGTGAGCATGACTTCCTCCTCATTCTTCCTCACATCCTACGTCTCAAACGGTGTGGGTCTGCTCACTCATGGTGCTCCCTTCCACCCATCTGGTGGACAGCTTCAGAAATAACACAGCATCTCCTGCACCTGTTTTTCAGCATCTTGGCAATACTTGTTTTAATGTGTCTCCACAGGATCTATTATACAGATTGCATGAACACGTCCTTAGATGTTGCACTACTTGTGGTTTATTGTTGCAATGGAGGAACACTAACAATGTAATCAAGAGAGCACAGGCATATTCTTATAATGGTAAATGTATGCTTTGAATACGTAATGACACCCACTGTGGATAGAGCCAGCTGTTACTAGGTTCATAAATGTCAACATTACTGTGAACTTTGATGAAAGCAATGCAACTTCCTCTTCACCATCAAATACTATATGCAAATGTATCAATACTGTCTTGTGAAGTGTGACAGCAGTTGAAACAAATACAAAACCAGCTGTGCACTGCAAAATGAATTTCTAGCCGGCTGTTCCTACATAATAGGTTTCACTGTAAAGACTTTATGATGTGTGTGATAGCGTTCTCCCAATCCCTCATGCCAGAAATTGCGATGACATGCTCAATTCACTGCTGCAAAAAGGACTTCAGCTCCCATCCCTGCTATATAATACTTCACTTTGAATCGTTTTAAGCTGCTTTTTATTTTTATTTGATTGATTCTGGATGTTTTCTAGGTACATTAAGTGTTTCTATGCCGCTTATTCTTTGTTTTGCTTGTGTATGGTGTCTCCAATGGAACCACTCATGATCAATAAAGACCTGACTGTTGTCAAAAACATGTCTGAGTTTACTGCCAACTTAACATGATTTATATATGTGTCACAGGTCTGTCTCTGTTTGCTGAATGTAGCTGTCACAACAAGTGTGCGCTTATAAATGATGTCTGTTTTGCAAGGGCTTCAGTTAGTTTAAAGGGTAATCAGGTGACTTAAAGGTTGCACATTAATTGCGTTAGTCCTCAGGAACAATTTGTATATATAGTACAACAGAATAAAAATAATTTACTCTATATAAAATCAAATCTACAGGGAGTTTGTGTGGATGGTGTTCTGCATCATCAGGTTTCAGTTCAATTACAAGCTCCCTGATGGTTTCAGTTCATATGAAAGTGAGTTGATTTAGACAAATGAGTATCACAGCATTAAAGCAAAAATACCCTAACACATAAAAAGGAGCAAAAATGAAAATGGAAAAATATTTATCTTAACCTAAAAACGAATGAGCGCACAAATGTCTAAAGCCATAAATGTATTACTTACTACATATGGATGAAATACATTTTTTTTCATGGATTAGGATTGAATGCAGTCTGTAATGACATTATAAATGCTTGTTGCAATACATTTATTTCTCTCTTGGGAGAGGGAACGGGAAGATGGTCAATTGAAAGGAAAATGAATTAAATGTTCAATAGAACCCATAAAGGGAAATTAAACGGATGTTCTGGAGTGATTTCAGACACTGTATCAGTTTATGGAGTAGGCAAGGAGGCAGGCAGCGCAAAGGGTTTCATGAGGGCTCTATTTCCTTTATAAAAGCTGTGGCAATGAATTTAGGTCTGTTAATAACTCAGAAAATCATTCTAAAAAACAAACTGTCAATGATTTTTTGTGGGATCTGTTGTTAGGGAATGAATGGACAATGTAGCCCAGCAAGCATGTGGTTTTAATTCTATAGTTTTTACTGAGACATTAAATGTGTATTAGGACTTTGTAAAAGCTAGCAATATTGCTAAGTGAGTAGACAGGCAGTTAGCAATCACATTTTTCAGCCTGTTGGAAATTAGTTAGATTTTCTGGAGAGTTGAAGTCTTTTTTTTTTTCAGCCAGCAGCAATAAGTAGGTACCAGTTATGCCTGCATATAAATGTTGTCTAATAGAAATATGAGGTCTGCAATCAATAGTGATAAATAAATATTGGTTTTTATTCATTCGTAAACACCTGATGATGATATAAATAGCGCTGTTGTTGTTGTTAAAAAGGTTATCATGTGTGTTGCACCAGTCTGGAGCCTGTGATAGGCCTGCAAATCTTACCGCAAATTGTCTCTAGTGCACTGAAAATTGCAGTCTTTGTGACATCAGTGGATCTCATATACCAAGACATACCAGGTAGTGTTGTTATATACTGTATAAGTGAGCTTGTAATAATCTGAAAGTGCTTTCACTTTCAATGTTTCAGAACACTGTATATTTGTAGGTATGCTGCATCTGTCTTATATCCAAACCCATGTGGTCTCAAAGGAATACTTCCCTTTATTGTAGTCCCTGACAAAAACAACTTCACAGCTTTACTTCACTTAATTATCATGTCTCATCTGGCGGAGACTGGCAGCAGTAAAGTGTTTTCTCAAAGGAAAACTCTTTGTAGACAACTTGGTTCAGAAATTGTGTTTTTATTTGCTTATTATAACACCCTTCATGGGAAAGTTCTATAGCTATAAATGCACATTTTCATTAACTGCAACACACTTGAAGGTTTATTTAAAGATAAACAAGTGAATAAAAATAACTAAAAGGGCATGATAAGATGTGTAATTTCTATCTGTATACCTTAACATCAGACATTGTTTTCAGCATTGGATGGATGAATCTGAAATCTAAGACTTCTAAATCAAGTCATGTGTAGTGCTCCGAAAACATTACAAAACGTTAAAATATTCAAAGCGGAGTAGTTGTAGCACAGTTTGAAATTACTACTAGTATTTTCCCAGTGCATAACATACACACCGGTTTTGTGAAAAGAGCATTTTCTGGTGTCTAATCCAGGTGAAATGATCCAGACAACATCACCTTCACAGAGACCAACAGAGACCTACATTCTGCCGCTGCCATATGCTCTGGGAGAAAAACAAAAAGATTTTGTGTTTTATGTAGCAGGTCATGAAATCACAAAAATAGAAAACAGTGGAAAAGAGAGTCTGTGAATGTGTTAGGGTATACAGAAATCTGAACAGATGCCATAACAAGCCAGATACTTCCTATCCCTTGAAAGGAGCAGTCTGATGTTTGGGAATAACAGAGAGCTCAGCCAGCTGTGCCGTTCGTCTCCCTCAGCTGTGCACATCTGAGCTGCATCCACCTATGCAATAAACAGAAAAATATTCACTATTCTTTGTCTTACTCTCCCACATTGTGAGTAAGAACCGATCAAAAGCTAAAAATAATGTTATAATTTAGACGTAATTTGTAATGTCTTTTGGCTTTCAATAGTTATTTAATGGATTTGGAAAATGCACCCGCTGTGGGACTAATGAAGGATTATCTTATTTTATTTGATAGTCATTTTATGGGAAAATATCACGGAAAATTCATTTTGCACTGTCAACATTACATTTTAGAGACAATTAGATTTTTAGAGCTGGTTCTATAATTATATTATCTGTTGCATTGTAGATTAGTCTACTGTATTTGTATAGATTTTCTTTGGGCCAACTTCAATCAAGATGAACTGTTTGACTTTCTGTAGTTGGACTAATCATAACACATTGTAAACTCTCTTTACCTGGTACATTTATTACATTTTTCACAGCAGGCCATAAACTATATTAATATTGATATCGTTTAATCCAACAGGGGGACCTCTGACACACTGCATGATGTTCAGGCTGCAACACTCCCTTTGTCCAGCTGGTGTCCATGTTGAGCTTTGTTAAAAGGTCAAGCCTGTTTTTAAAGCAGGCTTAGAGTAGATAGATAAAGATTCAGGCCACGTTCACACATTTTACTGGCTTCTTTGACGTGACATAGGTGAACCTAACACGTTTGAGCTCTAGGATATTGATTTATATCAAGGGTTATAAAGAAGCATTTTTATTTGTCAGAGTTTAGTGAAGATGATTCATGCAAAGCAAATCATCCCACTTACCCCTGAAATTAAATTATTGATACAGGTTTCAAAATAACAGCCTAAGTAGTTAAACAGCATAATAGCTGAGAAGCTGCACTCATTGTGATAAATAACATGAGTGTGGAACAACAGGGTGACATTTTGACTTTTACAAGCCATAAACGGTCAACTATCTGCCAATCAGCAGATCAGACTCACCTCTGCAACCACTAGAAACAACAAATCAGCACCATGGACTGATAAATAGGTGAGCACACACACACACACACACACACACACACACACACACACACACACACACACACACACACACACACACACACACACACACACACACACACACACACACACACACACACACACACACACACACACACACACACACACACACACCACACACACACACACACACACACACACACACACAACTCTGTCCTCACATTCTCCGTGAGGACAGAGAATGAAACCATAACTGGGAAATGCAGAGAGCACAAGGGACAAATACATAGCACAGAGGTGGATTACTATTAAATGATGAAATAGACAGTCATTTCTTATTATCCACTCTTCCACTCATTTTAATTATTAAAAAATTCCAAATTCCAAATGTACAATGACACCTTTAGACTAAATCTGCAACCTTGTTGTAAAAATGTGTGATTCTGGAAATCTAATATTCCGGATTAACGAGTGGAAGGGAGTAAGTGTTGCTGTCTCAAAATCCCATTACAATTAGGTGTAATACTTGCTATTAAATTCACCAAATTGATAATCGTATTGTTTTTCATTGTAAAAGTCATTTAGAACAAAAACACGTTTCAACAAAAATGAAAAGTTAAAACTGAAAAAGGGGAGATATCTGTTGATGTTGAACATTTTCTATGTTATTATTACCCTATAACTGTGTAAATAAATAATTACATTTTTTTCATAAGAAAAACAAAACAAGATAGCCCTGTTGGACAGACGTTTTTTTTTTTTTTTTTTTGCTGCATTTTGTATCTGTCTTAAACTTGTGGCTTATTTCCTGTTTTGATAAGAGAGGCTTTTATTTTGAAGGCAGCTCTTAGGGAATTGGCCTGACGTTTCAACTGCTTGCACAGGTGGAAAAAAGTGGGAAATGTTGAAGAAATTCAGCGATATTTAAACACAGATCGAGGAATTTAATGGAGCAGTACCCCAAGAGGAACAAGGTTTGTCTATGTTGTATGACTATAATGCAGATGTTTTTTTTTACCTCAATTCGTTTTTGTACAGTACTAAATGTCTTAATTGTTTGTTAAGTTAGCCTAAGCATTATTTAGCTCCATGTGGGCAATGAATTAGCTATGGTCATGTTAGAACTCCGCCAACATGTGTTGTTTTTTTATTTGAAATTATTTATGTGGTTGCCAACACTATAATGATAAGACGCATTGATCCTAGTGGAAAGGTAATAACTTCGATTAGTTTCAGAATACTAAAAATCCCCCTGAATCAGAAAGGTTTTGACCAGACGAGAGTTTCTGGTAGAAAATATCGGCTGAAAGGAGATTGGCACTAAATCAGGAATGATGCCCTAGGCTTGCAATTCCCTACCTCACTTAAGCCCTTAATAATGGCCACTGTTAAACCCTGATTGGTAGGGAAATGCACCAAGAGTCACTTCCTAGTACACCCTCTACAACAGGATATCTGAATAACCCTCCAAACTAGCCTTAAAGGTAGGGTAGGTAAGTTTGAGAAACCGGCTCGAGATACACTTTTTGTTACAGTATATTCCATGGAATGCTCTTAACATCCCGATAGCAATGCATATCTTAAAGGTAGGGTAGGTAAGTTTGAGAAACCGGCTCGAGATCGCTAGAATTTGAAAATACACAACCAGAGAAAATCTGCCACTTCCTTACAGAGCCCCTCCTCCAACACACACGAACTCGCA